CTTTTGCAGTGTATAATTTTTTGTTATTAGCGATCCTGATTTTTTTACATATTTTAACCGAATAGCGTGTATATTGCAGTACAATCATCATTCATGAAGTAGATATGTTGAACTCCATAGGATTATTTTAACAAATATATAGCCGCAAGCAGATATTATGCGTCGACCAAAAAATCTACAACTCAAGCTACAATGTAGCCTACGCTACTTCAACTGCTTAGGTGTCGCTCAAAACCTGGCGGATAATGACATGGTTAAATTGCAAATTGCTACTGTTCGCTGGGAGCGAAATGCATAGTGGGGGAACTGAATTAATCGCCGTGCACGTGTTGAACAAAAAGAGAACATCATCGGGCTGAAGTGAAAGAAAGAAAAGTGTAAACAATTTGCTGGAATCACTTAACAGATAAAATAGAATTATCAATTTGAAATTCAAATTGCTCATAACCTAAATCGGCTAAATGTGCACAAATATTTCAGTCCGACATCCGCTAGGTACCGCTATCGGTACTGTTGCGTCTTGTAGAACCTCGGATTTCACTGTTTTTTTCACTTGAAACTTCTTGAGGGTAGTCTGATAGATTATTTTAAACAAAACAAAGTGTGGATGAAGCACGCTTTTCATGAATTTTTTTCTCAAAACACTGTATTTTTAGCAGTTATTTCTACCATTATTTACACCGCCATCTGCCATTATGACGACGTTGACGTCTGAGCATATGTCATATATGAGTGGCGCTTGCCTGCCGTGTTGCCGAATTGGACTCCGCATTTAGGAAAAAATATGAAAGTGGAAAATCTATATACATTTATATTAATCAATGAAGCACAAAAAGGAAAAACTGAAGCAAACAACAATAGCAAAATAAAATGCGATTCTTAATAAGTATAAAACAAAAAATAACAGTAGTAAGCTAAAACACAATAAATTGTAAATAATTATAAAAAAAAAATAAAAACAGTAGTAAAGCAAAAAACAATACCATATAATTATAAAAAACAAAAAAATAACAAACAGTCAAATAAGAAGCTATTTTAAGTGATCACAAAAAATAATAACAGTAGTACGACAAAAAACAATTCCATGTAATTATAAAAAACAAAAAATAACAAACAGTAAAATAAATGCAATTCTGAGTGACAACAAAAAACAAAAAGAAAAACAGTAGTAAAAAGAAAAACAGTAGTAAAACGAAAAACAATTCTATGTAATTATAAAAAATTGCTTTTTATTTTACTGTTTGTTATTTGTTGTTTTTTATAATAACATTTAATTGTTTTTTGTTTTATTCTTTGTTTCTTATAAGTGTTGTCAATTTATTGTTTTCTAGCTCACTATCGTTATTTTTTGTTTTATACATATTAAGAATCGCTTTTTATTTTGCTATCGGTTGTTTCAGTTTTTCGTTTTTGTGTTCCATTAATATGTGCATCACAAATTTTCCACTTTTCATATTTTTCCTTAAATGCGGAGCCCAATCCGGCAACACCGCAGGCAAGCGACTCTCATATATGATATATGCACAGACTTTAACGTCATATGGCAGATGGCGGTGGAAATAATGGTAGAAATAGCTGCTAAAAATACAGTGTTTTGGGAAAAAAAAATCTTGAAAAGTGTGTTTCATCAACACTTTTTTATTTAAAATAATCTATTGGACTAGCTCTCTAAGTTTAAAGTGAAAAAACAGCGAAATTCGAAGTTCTACAAGACGCAACAGTAGCCCGCTATCATCGCGCACCCAGGAACTTGAACTAGACGAACAGCCCTCTCGGACAGCATTAATAATTCCGACAAGTTCGACCAAATTTTTAGACGTGGCAACAATGCGAGAGCTTCCTTTTCTGGTTCTGAGTATTCGACTTCCACCTCTTCGACTCATGTACATACATATTTATGTGGTCTTCAGTTCTTTTTCTGAGTGGTCTATGATCTGTGCCTCTTGATTGACGTATATGCTATATGGTATATGGATATCGCGAATCCCCATTTTGCTGATAAAAATTTGCTTTTTGTTTACAACTGTGGTTTATAGAATTTGTGGTTTACAGCAGGCCCCAGAGCCAAATAGTCCGGAATGCTGTTGTTTAACGCTCAGTCATTTTCCGTATAATAGACATAATTACTCCAGTGTCGCAAAAAACGCTGAAGATCGCATCTCGGGTAAGACTACACCAAAACGCATAAACACCGGAGTTTTTCGATTTTTTTTTCGTGAAGAAATCTTCAGAATAGGCACTTTTATAAGGAAAATATATGTATAACTATGTGTTATAAGCTCAAAATACACACTGTAAATGATGCTTTGTAAGCTACATAGAAGTGTTGTATGTTTTTTCAGTAGCTTTCTTGAGAATCCTTGACAATCCTTGTGAGTATTTTCAGTAATATTAAAGCCTTGGGGTTTATAAGAATTGCCTGAAAAAATTTACCATTTTCATTTTCTGGCCCATATAACGAATACTGTGCGATGTTGCTAAATTGTAAGTTTTGTTGGGGAAGATCCGTAATTCAACAAAACTTCTATTTACGAAATAAAAATCTCTGAGGTAAATAAGGTCTTCCAGTATTTGCAGACAATTGATGAAATCCTGAACAGTATAGGCCTAAACAATGGAAAGTGCACTAGCGGCTGCACAGCTTAAATGGGGGATACATCTCTGAGGTAAATTACTTTTTTTATGAGTAGTTTTCCCAACATCCACTGAAAGTGGAAAAATGCTGAACATTGAATGTCTAAGCAATGGAAGGAGAAGGACGCACTAGCGACGTCGCGGCTTATGTGGAGGAAGATTGAGGTGAATGGCAGGTTTGCCAGAACAAGCACAAAAATTTTTCAGATAATTATTTTTGAAACTTATTAGAACAACTTGTTTCTCGAGCCACGATTGCCAATGAACGTAAAATGATACGCATTCGCTATCTCTTCGCGATTTGGGGATTGGGAAGTCGCAGGCCCGGGGACCCACAAGACGAGCAAATCCGTGGAAAATTGCAAAGAAGACAAGTAATCGTCTAGTTCTTTCTACCGAAACACGCTGTGAGACAGCTAAATCGACTGGCCAGTTCACAACGAATACGATAATCAATCACACATCTCTAAAGTGAAAAAATATACTTTAGGACGTATGACCTCACGTAAGATTCTCATTGGTTTACTTTGATGACCTTGTAATTTGAGGGTAAAAAGAGTAACAAAATCCGTATTATTAAGTTGTTTTGTCAATTTGCCGCTTATTTACCCGACGTTTTTATTCAAGAGCATCAGAAAAGTGCCGATGATACGCTACTGATAAAGCTCAACGAGATAAAGCTCGTGTTTGAATGTGGAGAAGGCTGTTTCCATTTCGTCTATGGTGCCATCTAGCCCCCAATCGTTTGACTTATTGACTCGCAGTTGAAAGTTCGACTTCATGCTGCTAGATGGTGGCGGGCAGCAGTTTCTAACGATTTTTCACTATAAGCACCTGTTGCTAGTTGCTTGTAATTCAAGCTTCGTTACTGTGTACATACCTCCTCGTCTTTGAGCGCATGAAGCTCAATTATTAAAAACATTTCAAATTTCCTCAGTAAAATAGTCCTGATTTGGAAAATATCCAATTCATACTCATATAAATTAAAATAACTTCAAATTTTTTAAAAAAACCACTTGGTCCTAGCTCCAAACCATTAATTCTAACTAGAGTACTAGAAACACTATCGTACTTATGTTTTTTCTTGCCTTGCGGCTAAATATTGATATATGTACGTGTCAAAGCTTGTGTATAGGTTTTAAACATTTTTGAAGCGGTAATAGCCATTTCATATCGCATGGCGAAATAACGGTGCTTTTCTCCATAGTCATTTTTTGAACTAGTCAAGTCAGCTTTCGAATTTTGGGGTAATGGCATTGATACCTGCATTAATACATGAAAATTATATTTTAGCTTAAAGGAGGCAGTTGGAGATTGCAAGATGATGGCTAGGCGTCATTTTGGAACATTTTTCAAATGGAATGTGGGGTCATGTGACAACTGATTCAACTGTTATTTGTTTTGCCCAAATGAATGAAAATAAGTATGACAAGTCATGCCCATTTTAAATCAGAAAAAAGGGAATATTATTTGTTCTGACGATATACAGCGTATTCCATTTAAAAAATACAAATTTATTCGATATCACTTTTCTGAGACTGTACAAAATATTACATGAAAAAACATCATGATGTTAGACTCTATAACTTTTGTATCTGTTTCTACTGGGAGGTCATTTAAAATGGTTATAGGGGGTCAATTTATTGCCGAACACCCTTGTACACGTTTATCTTGAGATGCATCATAAAATGGAAAGAAACGTTATTTTACTTCAAAACAAGAAAATAAGGCTTTCGCGAATTCTTTAGTGAAACCTATTTTAATTTTTGATTAATATTTTGTAAATCGACGTGAACCTCAAAGATATCGAAAAAACAAGAAAGTATTTTCCCGCTGAAAGAAGTGGAATATAACGCACTTGCTTCAGAAAAGCACTGGTATACTATTTTCAAGCTTTCTAACGAAAAACATATAAGTGCTGTTGAAATTTTGTACATTCGCTAGCTTTTCGGTGCTCTTGACCACTATGTGACGGTTTGGCCGATCACGTAGCATTAGTATAGCAACTAATAGGAAATTCGCGCGAATCCGGCAGCACCGCACCTTCTCGCCGCGCCGCTAGACTCGCGAGCCGCGGGTTGGTGGGAGCCGCGTTATCGCGGTTGCCGCTCCACCGCTACAAGTCGGACGGAATGGAAAATCTTTACAGACATGACGCCTGCGGCAGCTCGCAGCTAGCACCAGGTCGAGCTGGTGGAGCACCAAATGGTGTTCCCCAGGTCGCCGCCACTGACGCTTCCACGGCCGCGGCACCAGCGTGGCTCTCTCTCTGGGACATGCCGCTCGCCGCTTCGACGCCTCTCCGCCCGACGTCCCGCTACAACGATCCTCTCGCTATAGTTCTGTACTGTTACAACGTTCCGTTCACATCTCGCTAACGCCGACGTCGGGATTTACACATTTTTCCTGCATGTGCAAAGTGTGCAAGTGCGAAAATGGCGTGCGATTTCACATATAACAAGTGTCTAAAGTGAAACATAGAGATGGTGCGTTTTTGACGCCCCCCAGAGTGTTTTTAAACGGAGGGGATCCCAATGGTTCTGGTGCTAGCTGCTCTGCTCAAACGTTCACACGTTTGACAGTTTCAACCGTTTCAACATATGTATGCCCGATGACAGATAACGTCTTGTGACGTCACATGCTCCACTGTAAACAAGGTTTAACCCCTTCAACTCCCTATCTAAGTACTTTTAGGGCACTATAATCATTTTCCAAGTCCAAACGTGATTATTAAGGCATTTTAAGCTTCAGAAACAGGCAATCACCCCAAAAAAACTCCACAAACCAAAAAGTGAAACTTAGAAGACGAATATCAGACTTGTAACAGCTGCTCTGATGTAAACAGGCTTGAAAGTTTCAACGTATGTATGCCCTATGACAGATAGCATCTTATGACGTCACTCTTTTGATTGTAAACAAGATCCATCCCCATCAACTGATTTTATGACTATCGGAATCACCTCTCTGGCTATAAAAGCTCCTTTAAAGCTCAAACTCAATTATTAGGTTATTTTAAGCTGCTAGTCTAGCTATCAGCCGTTAAGTACCCACCAGGTAAATTCCTACACCCTTATCACCTTTAAATGGCAAATTATCAAAAGAAATTTGTAATGCTTTTTCAAATATCTCACACTTTTTTCTTTACTACAGCTAATCCTCAACACCCTCACTACTCAAATAGTTTTATAACCCTTTTAACAATTAAAACTTTTTTAAAGCTCAAATTTAATTAATGAGGTGGTTTGATGTTTCAAAATGCATGTATTGACAATCATCACAACGAATTGTGAACCGCCAGATCATCCTTGACGCTTGAACGACATTTTTCAAATGTGCAACTACTTCTGTAACGTAAACAGACTTGTCAGTTTCAACCTTTTCAACAAATGTATGCCCGATGACACAGATAACGCGCCTTGTGACGTCACATCGTCCACTGTGAACAAGGTTTAACCCTTTCGACATTCTACTTGAGTAGTGTTAACCATCATCTAACCATCAAAAGCTTTTAAAAGCCCAAACGTGATGATTAAGGCATTTTAAGGTTGAGAAACAGGCTACCAATAACCCCAAAAAACTCCATAAACCAAAAGGTTTCAACCTTGAAACTTAGAAGATGAATATCAGACTTGTAACAGCTGCTCTGATGTAAACAGGCTTGACAGTTTCAACGTATGTATGCCCAATGACAGATGGCATCTTATGACTCACTCTTTTGATTGTAAACAAGATCCATCCCCATCATCTGATTTTATGACCATCGGAATCGCCTCTCTGGCCATAAAAGCTCCTGTAAAACTCAAACTTAATTATTACCTTATTTTAAGCTACTAGCCTAGTTATCAGCCGTTAAGTACCCATCAGATAAATTCGTACACCACGTGCGATTCACCCTTTATCACCTTTAAATGGCAAATTGTCAAAAGTAATTTGTAATGCTTTTTCAAATATCTCACACGTTGTTCTTTACTACAGCTAATCCTCAACACCCTCACTACTCAAATAGTTTTATAACCCTTTTAACAATTAAAACTTTTTTAAAGCTCAAATGTAATTAATGAGGCGGTTTGATGTTTCAAAATGCATGTATTGACAATCATCACAACGAATTTTGAACCGTCAAATCATCCTTGACGCTTGAACGACATTTTTTAAATGTGCAACTACTTCTGTAACGTAAACAGACTTGTCAGTTTCAACCTTTTCAACAAATGTATGCCCGATGACACAGATAACGCGCCTTGTGACGTCACATCGTCCACTGTAAACGAGGTTTAACCCTTTCGACATTCTACTTAAGTAGTGTTAGGACCCTCTCTAACCATCAAAATCTTTTAAAAACCCAAACTTGATGATTAAGGCATTTTAAGGTTGAGAAACAGGCTACCAATAACCCCAAAAAACTCCACAAACCAAAAGGTTTCAACCTTGAAACTTGGAGGACGAATATCATATTTGTAACAGCTGCTATGATGTTAAACAGGCTTGACAGTTTCGATATATGTATGCCCAATGACAGATAGCATCTTATGACGTCACGGTTTTGATTGTAAACAAGACTCATCCCCATAAACTGGTTTTATGACCATCGGAAATCACCCCTTTAGCTATAAAGACTATTGTAAGGAAATCATTAGGTTATCATAAGTTATTAAACTAGTTATCGGCCTTTAAGTGCCAACCAGATATATGCGTGGACCACGAAGGATTCACCCTTTTTGCCTTTAAATGACAAATTATCGAAAGTAAACGGATAAGATGCATTAGTGACGTCATTACGGTCAGTTTTCTTGTACTTCAGGATGATTTTTGACAGGGGTAGCCTTTTCGATCCTCAACATTCTGTACTTTTATACATCAAATGTAATTATAAATGTGTTTTGGGGCTGTAAAATACATAAATTGTCAATCATCCCAATAAATTTGTAAACCATGAAAGTTTCAATTTTCCCTCTTAAGTGAGGATTTTTGAAATGTGCTGCTAGTTTCAACCATTTCATGATAATTATGTATGCCCGATGACAGACGTCTTGTGACGTCACATTTTCCACTGTCAACAAGGTTTAGTCTCCTTCAACCAGTTTTATGGCGATTTAAATTACCCCTCTAGCTATAAAAACTTTTTAAAAGTTAAATATTCTAAATGAAAGGCTTATCCTTATTGCCTTTAAATGATAAATTATCAAATGAAACAGAAGATGCAATAGCGACGTCATGACGGTCTTTCTTTCCAGCTTTCTGTAACGTTAACAAAGCTGCTCTTCTAAATATCCCAGAAAATTTCCTTTGAGGTTGTATTTTCCTCAGAATTATTTTTTCGTCTCTTTTTTGTTTCCTGCCTGTATGCAGTACGAAAATGGTATGCAATTTCACTTATAACAAGTGTCACTAGTGAAACGTAAGGCATGTTATTGTTTCACCTCCTCCCCCCTCCCCTTAATGCCAAGTTGTTTTATAGCGAGATTTGCAAGGAATTTGAGGTTATTCGTAAAATGTATCCTGCAAAATCTGTATTGAAAGTTTCAACCTCATTACTTAATAGAAGAATATCAGATTTGTGGCTGCTGTGATGTAAATAATCATGCTTGATAGTTTTAACATTTGTATGCGAGATGACAGATAACGTACTGTGACGTCACAATGTTGATTGTTAACAGGGTTTTGCTTCGCCAACTAATTTTATGCTCCAGCTATAAAAACTTCTTTAAAGTTCAAACTCGATTATTAGGTTATTTTTCAGTTGTCCTACTAGTTGGCAGTCGTTAAATACTCACCAGATAAATTCGTAAATCATAAAGGTTTCTTATTTTATGTAGGGTTAGCTTATTAGCGTTCTAGCATATTCTAGGAGACAAAGGTTGCTTTTTCAGCTTTCCTACAAATTTTCCTTTAAAGCAGCATAATCCTCAATATAATTTCAAGCTTATATGTTCTCAATCGAGGTTTGACGTAAACAGCGTTGACAGTTTCTTTGGTTCCAACATATTATGTATGCCTGATGACATAACGTCATGTGACGTCAGATTTCCGACTTTATTCAAGGTCCATTTTGACACCGTGGATCTCTAACTTTTTTGAAATCATAGAAATGCCTCACTCTGCCCATGTTTTCTCTCCGTTGATAAACAGACAGAAAATACCCCAGGGCGTTAGTTCTTGGAGGAGGAGAATAACTGACAGAAAGTGGGCGTGGTCCCTTTGCCTGTCCTGATAGAAGAGTCATACATACATATTATTTTGTCCAAGATGGATGCATTCACAAACTTGTCTGTCAAATGTCAACATCCGTCAGGAACGTTACATTCTACTGCACCCAAGAATTGACGTCTTAAGGATATGATCACCTGTTGGTTCATTCTTAAACCACCTGTCTCTACCTCTACATTTGTTCTGATATCGCAAAACTATCTCTTGTGTTAGTCAGCCATGTTTGTCTGACCATTGAAACCACATACATGTATTTAAAATTCTTCTATAATTCAATAAATGTTTCAATCACAAAGGTGATCTTCTTCAGCACAATGACATATATTTCATTTATTTGTCTTCCAGATGACAGTTCGTTTGTATTTTCTTTTGATCGTCACATTCGTATACATGAGTTGTCATATTTCTTTATCCTTCTGTATTGGATTTTCCCAGACTGTATTCAATACCAAGACAGGAAATACTCATGAAGATATTTCAAGGCAACCTTGTATAGCACGTAACGCTATCTACGATATGCGTATACGAGGTAGTATGTATTCAAAATGTATAGCTACTATATGTGGTATAACGGTGAGCCTGATTATATCACGTTACTGTTATTAGTCCAGTCCGAATGGGAGAAACACTTCACACGGATCTCTTGAGATTTTCAGAATATACTAAGTGACATAATACTTTTTACTCATTTGAATACCAATGCCTACCAAAGTGACAGCGTTGTAGTGACATAATAATAATACTTACAGGTGGAAACATCCACCATCACTACAGAATATGCGAAGTAGGAGACAAACAGATCGTTGACTGGCTCTTTCTACCTAGTCTGAATTCGTTGTTTCCTATAGAAGAGAACCATGTCCATTTTCTATCAGTGATTCTAGATAGAAATAATTCATAATAGCGCTTTTTTAGAAAAGCTCCATACTTTGGGGTAAGCTCCCACTCCTACACTAATGGCGTAAGTGAATCATAGTAATTATTTATGTGTCTTGTCCCCAGCCGCAAGAGCATCGTTGGGGAGGGACGATTGAGAATTGAAGAGCGAGGAGGCACTGCATGCTCAAGTAGCGCTTTTGAGACGTTTTTTGCAATTTGCAGGCGACCCTCTCCCTGCTCGTCAATTTTTAATCGCCGACGCTCACCCCCTCCCCTCCTGAGACAGACATCTGCCTGAACATGAATCTTGAGCCTCTCCCACAAAAAATCTTCTATATCCGCCCCGGATTATGTCCTTGGTTTGATCACCACTATGTGTAGACACAGTGCAAGGACTTTAAACCTTTAAACTTGCGTCTTGTAGATGCTGGTTCCGTGTTAAGTTACTACCAAACACCAACCATGGCAAACATGAGCTAATCTGGTCTATATCTGGACTACGAGCCCCTTCCCACTTCAGTTGGCCCACTTTAAGATTCTTATCAAAATATGCCTTTATAAACTAAACATGACGAAACTATTTACTTCTAAAACAATTTATTTTCTCAAAAACATTTTAGATACACTCAAGTCATAAAAAATACATATTTGAAATCATTTAGACCCATAACTAATAGAACATCTGAACAAATAAACAATGTGCGAATAAATGCGCGAAGTTAACGAAGCAACAATTGAAAGATTACCATTTGGTAACATCACCTTTATTTTTTATTACGGCTGCAATTCTTTGGGGCATAGTGTTAACCAAGTTTTGGCGAAAAATTGGTGTAATACAATCCCATATTTCTGGAAGCTTTTGTCTCAGTTCGGTGATTGTACGAGCAGGATGTTGTCGTAGAACCTTTTTCATCTCGTGCCACAAAGTTTCAATAGGTGACAGATCTGGGCTGCTAGAAACCCATTTCAAAAGTGGTACATTATTTTCTTCCATCCATTTTATAGCCTTTTTTGAGGTATGGCACGCTGCAACATCTTGCTGAAACACAAAATCTTGGCCGGATCTCAAACATTCTTCCATCACTGGTATAAGCGATTCTTCCAAAATTGCCAAATATTTGTTGTATACAGATTTCCATCCATAATATGAAGTTTTCCTACTCCTTTTGATGACATACTGCCCCAGACCATAATGGATGCTGGAAATTTCACTTTTCTCTTCAGACAGTCAACTTGGAATGCCTCATTTTTTTGCGAATAACTCTACTGCGACTGTCACCAACACAAACTTCGAATCGGGCCTCATCACTCCATTGTATCGCACACCATTGTTGAGGTGCCCATTGTCTATGTTCTTTAGCCCATCTAAGCCGATTTTTCTTTTGCAGTGGAGTTAATAGTGGCTTTTCTTTGGCCTATAAACAAGTTGTGCAAATTTAGGGTTTTTACTTCACTTTTTTTTATAAGTAAACTTACCTTGCAAGTGCTAAATCCCACTTTGTGGGCCTCTCTATGAGTTGTGGACCTCGAAATTCTCCTTCCAACAGCGTCACTCCATAGAGCACTTAATTGTAAATAATTGGCACGCCTGTTTTTCACGATTATTCTTCTTAATGCTCTTCGGTCGGCATTTGTGATATTACTTTTTTCACATATCGTGGCTTAATATTAACTGAACCAGTTACGTTATATCGTCTAACAATATTTCTCACACTGTACCGCGATAAGTCTAACAAAGTTGCAATTTCTGAGTCTGATTTCCCAGAATTAAAAAAATTAATTATCAATAACCGAATTTTCTCACTAATAACCTTTCCTCTACCCATTTTGAAAACCTTAACTACCCAAAACTATTTTAAACGTATTCTGACAGCTGTGATTAATAAAAACAATTGTCATGGCTTTTATTTTTCACAGCCACCTATGCGTTCTAGACTTATTTTGCATTGAAATGAAAATAGGTTGATATGTTGTAATTGCAACATGTGTTATTTTTATGCTGCAAATTTGATTAGGGAGTGATAAAGTTGGTGTTTTCTACTATATATTATCAAAATATTCATTGTTAATATTTTAAACCTATAACACCCTGGACAAGAAAAATAAGTAAGAGTTTTCTTTACCTCAGATTGGAGTTATTTTTTCCTATCAGTAAAGAGAATCATCGCAGCATTAATTTTCTTGTGTCAAACTTGACCTAGTTAGAATTTTCCCGATTTCAAAATCCACTGAGACTGGTCTATATTGTTATGCTGTTCCATACCGTAGGGCAACCACTAGAAAGAATCCATGTAAACCTATGCAGATTTCACAACTAGGCTAAAAATGTACAGTTATTTCACAATAAATTACATATACACCAGCGTAAGCAACTAATAAAAGTTAATGTCAGTCTGTTGTAAAATGTTTCCATAAGCTAACCTAAAAAACAAAGCAAATGACCGTTTCTTTGGAAACAATGATTTTACGAGAAGAAAATAATTGTTAATTATGAGTGGGTTGGGAGTTTTCTTTCGCGATTTGTAATTAGCTGAAGTGAAAAGATGGGGATGCGATGATTATTACTCATTATTAGGAAGGTGTCTGGTTGTGGGTATAAAAGCTTTCGTCTACTCAAAAACGGTGTGTGGCAGGATAATCCAAGTGGAATGGCTTCCATTGGCATTTATGTATCATGTATGTCTCGGCTCCTGACCTTTATTTAACCTTGAAAAAGTGTCTCTTGACTATGTCCAATAATGACCCTTGATTTGAACACAAAATTGCGTTCAGTTTGTAGAAATAACTGTCAAAGCTGCTTAATTTTTTTAGGGATGAAAAAAAATCAGTCTTCAGTATACGCCTTAGGCCTATGAGAAAAAACCTTTTGAGAAATTTCATTAAAATCGGTGATTTCTGATTTTCCAAGCGTGCTAATGGAAGTAAAAAACAAAATGCTGAAAAATATGTAACATTAATGTCGACTATGTGTAAGTAACATTACTCAGTGGTGCATCAGAAATTCAATAGAAACTAATCGATATGTAGTGAATTAATTATTACTCCCATCAGTTGTATCTTTTAAGATTCAAAATCGAAAATATCCACTATATATTATCGTCTAGCCATCAAAATCTGAAATACTATATTGGATGTCTGAGGGCATATGTTTGTGTTTTTTGGATCCGTTATTATTAAATATTTGTTAATAAGTTGGGTTCCTCTCCGAAAACAAGTGTGATTCAAGATCACCTAAACCTCGTATCCTTTTTATTGGATCAGGCAGCCCAAACTACCACCCTTATGGCTCTACAGAACCTGTGCTTCTATGTAAACATTATCCATAGTTCCAACGTAAATATTTGTATTTTAAGATATAAACAAAAAAGTATTGCATTTTTCAAAAAATCTTTTGTGAAGTATAACATGTGTATAAAAGTATAACATTTGTTTTTTGAGACATAGCAAGCAGATTAGAAAGACGCTTCACTGCCAGGACCTTTTCACAAAAACAACCATTTATTTGAAAAATGCATATTACAGTCCTCTGCATTAACCGCTTTTTTGGTATGTCTAAATTTCTTGTTTATTCATATAACGGAAATACGTTTTTTTTCATGAAACGTATGTTTATATACTATATTAATAGGGACTCTGTAAAGACTTAAATGCGCAGGTCCATTTACTAAAGCTACAAACAGATTTGAAATAAATCTTTTCTTCCCTTCATATAATAAATTAATATAATAATAATAGTCGGCTTTATTTATAGAAAGTATAAAAAGGCGAAGTGTCGCTAAAAAGCGTTTTTCAGCTTAACCCATCAAGTATTTGTGTAAATTTTCTAATCCCAATGAAAACAAAAAAGTTAAAAAAAACTGTAACGAGTCCCTATTCATGGCCATGGTCTACTTACTGGGCAATGAAATCAGAGTTAAAATGGTTCAATCTTTTTTTGAATTTCTTTATAGAGTAGTGAGTGAACTCGGTAGGCAACGCGTTGTATAGCTTGATAGCATGTACGACCTTTTAAATAGAGATGTTGAATGTCTCGGGATAACCAAGATATGCTTATTCTTTGTGTTCAGTTGATTAACATCCGAGTATCTGATAAATTTGGTTGATAGATATGGAGGAGCCTGTGTTGTGATTACTTTATGGGTCAAGGTCAATACGTGCCTTTCTTGTAGCCCTTCTATTTTTTGGAACATCCAGGTCACGATATTTATGTGACACTTTCTCAAATTTTCTCACTCCACAAGCAAATATGAAACACGCATTTTGAATCATCTGAAGTCTCCTTATCTCTCTCGTGAAATATAACTGCGGATGATTTTAAGGGGTTAATTTTGAGATTATGGACACAAGATACGTTAGATAAATTCATTAAATCATTATTCATCAAATGTTTGGCATTTTTTAAATCTTTAATATCAAAACCAAAGTACTCAACGTACTCGCGGAAGTCAGAAGTCAGAAATGAGAACAATAATCGGCCAAGGTGGTACCCCTAGTTTAACTGGTATCTCCTCCGAGATACTTGACCCAATCACAACCATCTGACTCCTGTCGGTAAAATAACTTAATACAAAATTAATTGCAGATTCCGAAAAACCAAAGTATATAAGCTTTTTCACAAGAATAGATGGTTCCAGAGTATCAAAAGCCTTTGTATAATCAAGTAACACTAAGCATGCTAAATTTCCTTGATCTACACATCTGATTAAGTCATCCGTGATGCTAGCAGAACTGTTGCACTGTGGTTTTTCCTGAAACCCAATTGGATTTCAGGAATGATACCATTAGAGAAGACGTAGTCAGATACCTGATGTTTCATGGCTAGTTCTAATAACTTGGAAAATGCTGGTAGTATATTTATCGGCCTCAGATGTGAAATATCTGTAGGGTTACTTATTTTAGCTAGGGGGAGAACATTTACTTTTTTCCAACAGTTGAGGAAGTTTGACGATGCAATTGCATGGTTGATGATGAAAGTTATATTTTCAATTAGCCAATCGAATATGATTATTAGCATATTTAGGTTGATTCCGTCAACACCCAAGGCATTACTTTTGATACTCCGGAAAAATCCCATAACATCGTGGAGTTATTTGAGAGAACGTGAATTGTCTGGCTTGCTGGCTGGTGTTATATTTTTCCAGCAGTTTCATTTGTAACTCAGACTTAACAATGGTAGGTACACTGGAAAAACACTTATTTATGCCATTAACGTCCTGCAGATGGCCACGTAACTATTTCAAATTGCTGGTGATAATGCTAAGTCTCCGAAGACAGCTCCAGGTAGCTTTAGAATCTTTTTTTGACAGGATGAATTCTCCCTATTGATAGCCTTCGCAACTTCATTGCGCATTTCTTTATAGAAAATCCACTTGCCTACCGATTTATTCTGCTTGTACTTATTATATGCCTTATCTCTCGATTTCATCATTTCTTTTATATTATATGAGTATTATTGGGCATACTTACTTCAGTTTTATGGTATGGGAATTAAATGGAGACACTTGGGTGATACTTAGGAATGTCTTATCCAAGAAAGGTAGTTTTGAGGTACATTATACCAAGATCCTTGAATATATCTTGATTATCAATTATCACGTTGATTTTTTCCCAGTGTATCAAACTACAATTGTCGTGGAGTTGTTATAATATCGAACTGAATCGGACTTTGTTCAAAATACTCACAGCAATAATCGAAACACAGTGATCTCAAATCATTACTCAATAGAATAAACATTAATTATATAATCAACTGAATTAAGTCTAATTAAATATAGTATATCGGCTGTGCAAGTAACATTAATACAACATTTGGAAAAACTGTGACTATGTGACAAGTGATTCTTGGACATACCAGTGCTTCACATCAAAAGTGGATTACAGTGAAACTAATATCGACGCGGAGGTTTAAAAATAGTTCAAAAATATTGGATATAGTGAATGTGATAGTGCAAGTATGGCGTATAAGTGTAGAGAAGACATAGTTGGAAAAAGGTTTTTGTCTATCAGCGGATTTGCGAAGTTGAAGTCCAAGAAAGTTGGAGAGTGGGGCTGGAGAGGTGGAGTTATCAGGGCCGCTACTCATAGGGATAACAAGAATCCTGATCTGCAGGTAACTATTTTAACATTACAAGCCGTAGAACTGTTTTTCTCTCAATTGCGTAAATAGAAATGTTTATAGGTCTTCTTCAAACCTTTTGGTAAAAATTGAATAATAATAATAAAAGTCTCCATTAAATAATATATAGACCATACATGTAAATATAAAGCGTGAATATATTGTTGTTAATATGACAAATCACATATAATAACAATAATAATAATAATAATATATATATATACGGGGTGGCCAAACACGTGACGTCATAAAAAAAAAATTAGATTCCCCACATCGAGAGGAACCCAAATCACCCCCATATATATGGTCCGATTTTGTTTAGTTTAGGAGTTATGATTTTTTTTCGGATTTTTCGAGAATTTTTGAGTTCTGTGTTTATTTTTACCATAACTTCGTTAATAATTGTGATAAATGCCTGCTTTTTTCACGATTATGTAGCTAGGACCTAAGGCTTAACTATCATATAATCATTCAAGTCATGTAACTAATACTACTTTTTAATTTTTTTCAAAATCTTCGAACATAACAAAAAAGTAAAAAAGTGCAACAACTTTGAACGTTTATAAAAAATTGAAAAAACATGTTCTTACTATTCGTAAGTATCTTAAAAACTTCCTTACGGTATCAGCTATTTACCGTAAAAATTTCATCAACCTAGCTTTACTACATGCTACCGTAATTGTGGCTCAAATAGAACCGAACCCAAAATTGGATAACCCTCTGCTCAATAGAAATTGTTAGTTTCGGAAAAAAAATTTGCAAAAACCACAAAAACACGTTTGATTTTTACTGAACAGCAGATTATTATTCATTTATGTTATTTACAAGAGGTTTTCAAAATGTCTGCCTCTAACAGAAATGCACAGTGTACACCTACGTATGAAATTTTGTTTTAAATCTCTAAATGCTTGTGTGTTGTTTTTCAACACATGTGTCGCTTCTTGAATTTTGTTCCTCAATGAATTTTCATTTGCACATTCTTGGGCGAATGTTATGTCTTTAAAATATCCCCAAACAAACAAATCAATGGGGTTGAGGTCAGGGGAGCGTGGAGGCCATCGTATCGGTCCGTTTCGTCCGATCCATCTGTCTGGGAACCTTTCGTTTAAGTAGTTTCGCACGATCGTTGCGTTGTGGCATGGTGCACCATCATTCTGGAACACCATGTTCCGTCTGGCTTCCAGGCTTGAATCTTCCAGCAATAATGGTAGGCTATTTTCAAGGAAGCTTTTGTAGGCTACCGAATCCAACCTTGACGGCAGTTCAAATGGACCGATAAATTCCATATTGAATATTCCTGACCACATGTTCACACTAAAACGGTGTTGAAATGTCGACGGCCTTGACTGGTGGGGGTTTTCAACAGCCCAAGTATGTAAATTATGGATATTGAATATCCCTGTTCTTTCAAAACGTGACTCGTCAGTCCATAAAATTTTACCAAAAAAATCGGGATCCTCTCGTTGTCTTCGCAGCATTGTCTGGCAGAAATCCACTCTTAACTGGTAATCTGAAGGCATCAACGCTTGAACTCTTTGAACATGATATTCATGATAACCTTCTTCATGAAGAATATTTTGTATCGATGTTCGTGGTATTCTAAGGTTTTGTGCCTTAGATCTCGTACTCGTTGAGGGATTCCGGCTAATTTCTTCAAGTACTACTTCTCTGCGATCCGGATCAGCTGTAGGATATCCTTCATTGCTTCCTCGTCCTGGAATGCGGCCTGCCAAGCCTGTTCAAGCGTTGATGCCTTCAGATTACCAGTTAAGAGTGGATTTCTGCGAGACAATGCTGCGAAGACAACGAGAGGATCCCGATTTTTTTGATAAAATTTTATGGACTGACGAGTCACGTTTTGAAAGAACAGGGATATTCAATATCCATAATTTACATACTTGGGCTGTTGAAAACCCCCACCAGTCAAGGCCGTCGACATTTCAACACCGTTTTAGTGTGAACATGTGGTCAGGAATATTCAATATGGAATTTATCGGTCCATTTGAACTGCCGTCAAGGTTGGATTCGGTAGCCTACAAAAGCTTCCTTGAAAATAGCCTACCATTATTGCTGGAAGATTCAAGCCTGGAAGCCAGACGGAACATGGTGTTCCAGAATGATGGTGCACCATGCCACAACGCAACGATCGTGCGAAACTACTTAAACGAAAGGTTCCCAGACAGATGGATCGGACGAAACGGACCGATACGATGGCCTCCACGCTCCCCTGACCTCAACCCCATTGATTTGTTTGTTTGGGGATATTTTAAAGACATAACATTCGCCCAAGAATGTGCAAATGAAAATTCATTGAGGAACAAAATTCAAGAAGCGACACATGTGTTGAAAAACAACACACAAGCATTTAGAGATTTAAAACAAAATTTCATACGTAGGTGTACACTGTGCATTTCTGTTAGAGGCAGACATTTTGAAAACCTCTTGTAAATAACATAAATGAATAATAATCTGCTGTTCAGTAAAAATCAAACGTGTTTTTGTGGTTTTTGCAAATTTTTTTTCCGAAACTAACAATTTCTATTGAGCAGAGGGTTATCCAATTTTGGGTTCGGTTCTATTTGAGCCACAATTACGGTAGCATGTAGTAAAGCTAGGTTGATGAAATTTTTACGGTAAATAGCTGATACCGTAAGGAAGTTTTTAAGATACTTACGAATAGTAAGAACATGTTTTTTCAATTTTTTATAAACGTTCAAAGTTGTTGCACTTTTTTACTTTTTTGTTATGTTCGAAGATTTTGAAAAAAATTAAAAAGTAGTATTAGTTACATGACTTGAATGATTATATGATAGTTAAGCCTTAGGTCTTAGCTACATAATCGTGAAAAAAGCAGGCATTTATCACAATTATTAACGAAGTTATGGTAAAAATAAACACAGAACTCAAAAATTCTCGAAAAATCCGAAAAAAAATCATGACTCCTAAACTAAACAAAATCGGACCATATATATGGGGGTGATTTGGGTTCCTCTCGATGTGGGGAATCTAATTTTTTTTTTATGACGTCACGTGTTTGGCCACCCTGTATATATATATATATATATATATACATTAAAAAAAACACTCCAAAAGGCTGAAGATTGGCATTGCCATTTTTCACCGTCGCCCACAGCAATTACAGAGAGATTTAGTAAATTAAAACAATAAAAAAACATGCGATTCATCTTATCTCTAATTTTACATAGGTTATGTAATCTATACAATTGAGGTACCGTTTTAAATAAAATACAATATTGAATCGTAAGTTCCTAATCTTCAGCTTCAGAAGCTTGTAACTGGAGAAGTACTTCCTTGAATTCCTTTCTGAAACTACTACTGGAAGTAATTTGGAAAAGTTCTAAATATTTATTCAACAAATAAGGTGCTGTGTAAGTGAAAGCTTTTTTGAATTTAGATGTTATTATAACAATTATCGTTTCTTAGAAAAATATGTCGAACAGAGGATCTTGTCTCTAAAATATACTGATAATTTTTTGGAGATTTATATCTTAAAACTTTGTATAATAGAGTACCATAAAAAAGCAATGAACGGTAGTTATATTTTAAAATGTCTTCTCTCACATAGTAGCCAGAGATGTGTTCTTCTCTACCTATATTATACTAAGTGACATATAAATCCGAACACCCAGTTTAAATGGTTTTATTTTAATAAAAGTTGGTGAATGTATTTATCTTACTGTAAATAACAAGTGAAAAAATTTTCAGCCTTATCAGTTGGACATTCCGGTTTTTATACTGCTTTTTTTTAATTCACTAACGCTCTAAAAATGAATATTTCAGCCGCAGTAAAGAATCAACATTGGCGGATTTTGGTTCTTGACATCCTTTACGATCGGTTACGATGTCTAGAGTACGGAGACCTGTACGATTTCGTCAACTTAGTGAGTTTGATAGGGGCCGTATAGTGGGACTTCGGGAAGCTGGACTTTCTTTTCGGGCAATTGCAGTTAGAGTGCAAAGAAGTGTAGACACTGTGGTTAGGTGTTGTCAGGCATGGCTTCGAGAAGGCCGTACGCAAAGAGCACGGGGCACTGGACGCCGCCGTAGAACAACAGACCGTGAAGATCGCCGCCTAAGATTATTGGCCTTAAGGGACCGTTTCTCCACTACCAGGTCCATTGCAAATGAATGGTTTGCAGAACACGGAAGACCTATTGGCATGCGAAGTGTTTACCGACGAATGAGAAGTTTGGCTTGTTTTCATACCGGCCACACTGGGTCCTCCCTTTAACTCGAGAACACCGACGTAATCGCCTTGAGTGGTGCAGACAACGGTCACTCTGGGATCAGGAATGGAACAGTATTGTCTTTAGTGACGAGTCTCGATTTTGTTTAGGCATGCACAATGGTCGTGCCAGGGTTAGAAGGCGACGTGGTGAAAGGAGGAATCCACAGTTTTTTGTTGAAAGACATGTTCATCACACTGTTGGAGTTATGGTTTGGGGTGCTATAGCTTATGGTTCCAGGTCACCTTTAATCTTCATCAGAGGTAACATGAACGCGCAGCGTTATATCCACGAAGTTCTAGAACCCCATCTTTTACCCTATCTTGACACCCTGGCAGATCCAACTTTCCAACAAGATAATGCCCGACCACATGTTGCAAGAGTCACAATAGACTTCGTTCAACATAATGATGTCACATTGTTACCATGGCCACCAAGATCTCCCGACTTATCCCCAATTGAGCACGTGTGGGATATGATGGGTAGGAGATTGCTCAATTTGCAACGTCCTCCTCAGACTCTCGAAGCACTTCGAGAGGAGTTGGTGGTTGCCTGGAATGAGATACCACAAGAGGACCAGACCACCTGATCAGAAGCATGCCTAGGCGCGTTGGAGAATGCGTAGCACATCAGGGTGCATCCACACATTACTAAAGGTCAAAGGGCTTTAAAGCAGTGCAATCATTTTGAAATTTTTATCATTTACTTATTATGCTTCATTAAGTACTTATACAAAATTTTATTAAAATAAAACCATTTAAACTGGGTGTTCGGATTTATATGTCACTTAGTATATTATTACAAAATCTTATGCAACGATTCTGTAAAATCTGAATTTTTTGTTTTATTTCCTCTTTAAGGAAGTTGTTGACTGTGACACCATAATCCAAATGTGTAAGGATTAATGAGTTTACAACCATTAATTTAGTATCACATGTCAGTATGTGTTTATATTTCCAAAGTGTTTTATATTTATATTAGCACAATTTGAGTTTATTCATAACATGACATTCAAAACTTAAATTTGTATCTAATAGTATTCCCAAACTTCTTGTTTCCTCTACAATTTGAATAGTGGCACCATCTAAAAGTATATTTGCATTTACTACCTTTTTGAATTTTGGAACAACTAGTCTAGCACCAATACAACAAGCTTTAGTTTTTGTGGGGTTAAGTCTCAGACAATAATTTTTTGAATACCTTGTTATCATTTCTAAATTTGTGTTAAGCTCCGATATGAGGGTATTTGCATCATCTGGTTTACATGCCTTATATATTTGTACATCATCCGCATACAAGTGTACATTCCAACCAGATGATATATAATCGGTTAGATCTGATGTGTAAAATGTAAATAGTACAGGGCCTAAAAAACTCCATTGTAGAGCACTGCCATAATGTTTTAATTTTGTACACATGATCTTGTGGTTTACCATATCAAGGCTTTGTTGTAATCCAACATAACTAGCAGTGTAACCTTGCCGTCATCGGTGCACTTGATTATGTCACTACTAATTTTGATGAGTGCTGTTGACGTATTGTGTAGCTACCTGAAACCCGATTGGGTGTCAAGCAAAACTTTATTTTGCTCTAAGTTTTCACGAAGTTCATCATCCACTATTTTCTCTAACAACTTCGACATTATAGGTACAGCAGTGATTGGTCTCAAGTCCCTCAATTCTGTAGCATTATCGACATTAGGAATCGGTATTATAATTGATTGTTTCCATATTGATGGTGCTTCTCCTGTGGCTAGTGACTGGTTGATAATACTAGTTAGTTGCTGCTTACAAAAAGGGAACGCGTTTCTTAACATATTTTTAGTGATACCATCAACACCCGCAGCATTTGATCTCACTTCTTTCAATTTCTGCGCAATGTCATCTGGTGTAACTTGACGAAATGAAGATTTAGATACAGCAGAATTCTCGAGTTCTGAAAATGTGTCCAGAAATAAATCATCAGGCAGAACGGTTGGTAGAGAGTCAATATGAGTCTGAAAAATGAAAAGTTTTGTTTGCACATAATGCGACAATATTAAGGAAAAAGTTAGTCGTTTGAAAAACTCAACATTATAGCGGAAACGTGCTAAGCTCATGGTTTTAAATTTAAAGAATTGTATATAGCTACAACATCATATGATAAACTATTAATAGTTATATCGTGTGTAGTGTTTTTCACATAGGTTCTCTGGCTTAAAATTAGTTAAAATGTTATGGATAAATGTCGAAAAATGTAACTTGACCAACTGATCCAACTCTGCATATTTATGTGATACAAGGTCAAACTTTCTCATGCCGAATATGAAGCGACTGCAGCTGTTTTGAATCAGTTGAATTCTGTGTTTTGTAACCCAATTAAAACAGGAGAAATATAGCATACGACAGTAGTTCAGACAGACACAACCAGACTCTCGCAAAATATTTTCCTCACTTTGAAGCTTAGCAGATTTCTATTTTAATAGGCTGCATAAAATTTATACATGCTCAGCAAATCTCAGTTTGTTATCAAGTTCTCCACAAAACATCGTTTCTCCTGCTCTCGGAACAAAACAGTGAAATCTTAGATTTTTCCGAGCTTACGCTGAGGTTGTGATCTGCAGACTCCTAGACTTAGTTTGTTGTCACTAAATAATCAGATGCAAATATTTTAATATACACAGTGACAAAGAAAATAGAACACCGAGTAAAAATGATTTAATTTGAATGAGATTTCATATAATCATGAGCAAGCGAAAGTAGTTTTAAAGTTTTTTAATAAACACTCGTCCGGTAGTCAGGGTGTGCTTTTGAAGAGGTTTATGTCTTCTTGAAGTAGCTCACTCCAAGCTAGCTTTACTTAGCTTTGAAAACTGTTAGCGTTAGTCGCGGTTGAGGTAAAGAGGTCAGTTTTCTTCATCTCACACATGTTTACTGGGTGAGAAGTCTCGAGAACTAGGAGACCAAGGGACGAGGCTGACTTGTGCGTTATTGAGGTAGTCTATTCTAGTTCTAGAAATATGGGTACTGGCATTATTTTGCTAGAAAATACACTTTTCAAGCTTTTGGAGGAAACATGGAGTTCCAGAATTTGGTAGATATACTGGTGTGCCGACATACCTCCTCGAACGAAAACTAGAAGTGGCCTAGCCAATGACTGTAATCTTTATATTAACTTTTTCTCTGCAATCATCACTACCTAACCGATATTCATCACTAAAAACAATGTTATACCATTCGATATTCCAGCTCACTCGGTCTTAGTTCTGTTTTAGGGATGCGTGATGGATATATACTTACGTTTCTTGCACTTGCGTACTAGTCTTATTTTGCTAGTGAGAGTTTCATCTTTGAAATGATATCTTCTAATACAGGTTTCCATTGAAAAGTTGCCTCCTTTTATTTTTGTTTATTTCATTTATTTTATTGTTGTTTTAGGGTTGCATGACGTACTTATGTTTCTTGCGTACTAGACGAAAGTTCCATCTTTGAAACGATATATTCTAATCCCGATTTCCATTTAAAAGTTGTCTCCTTTTATTGTTATCTATTACATAAATTATTCAGCAGCGGTGGCCGCAGTGATAGACTCTTCGGTCTCCTGATCAGTTGCCTATGGATGTTGTGATTGCCCGTAGGTGGTAGATGGTCTCCGACTGTCGAACGCGGAGGTACCACCCGGCGGATCTTGTGGGCGGAGCCTGAATGTGTGCATGTTGCTTGCACACGTGTTCCCTCGCCAGAGTCCGTGTGGCGTCCCCTGTTTCCCCCTATAGCACCAAGGTACCTCATGGGTGTTTAGGCCTTGGGCCTTCGTGGTAGTTAGAGTATATAAAAAAATGGGTGTCTTAAATTCGTGAAAGAGCAATGGCTTGAAAGCTCTAAAAGTCCACGATATCGTGTTGGACGATAGGCATGTGAAGGTGAGAACGATAGCTGAGGTCGTGGAAGGAATGGTACGAACATCTGGCACAAAACTGGGAATGAGAAGGCTCTTCGCAGGGTGGGTGCCTCATTTGCTGAATGTTCATCAGAAGTTGCGTAAATGACTATCGTACCATTGTTTGGACCAAATCAATAGATATCAGACCGATTGTATACGGCGATTTGTTACCACGGATGAGAGATGAGTCCACCACTGAACGCCAGAAACAGCAGTCGAAACATTGGGTGGAAGCCGGTTGTTCAGCGGCAAATATGAAAAGTCTGCCGGAAAGGTCATGCCCGTTGCGTTTTGGGTTTCTGTTAACTGATTACCTTGAAAAGGGTAGATCAATTTGTGTTTTAATCTTTTTCAAAATTCGTCAGAAGACTGTGGCCTGAAGAAGAAAACGATTATTTTTCATCAGGGCAGCACACCTGCTCACAAAGTGCGGTATTTGCAGGATGGCTTGCATGATCGTCCTCAATACTCTCCTGATTTGGCATCCACAGGCTGCCGTCTGTTCCCAGATTTGAGGAATTTTTGTCCACGCTTCCGGTGAATAAGTTGAGAGGGCCGTAGATGAATATTTTCAGCCTCTCAGACGTTCACTTCCTAGAAGAATACCTGATGTTGCAGAACCGTTGGATCAAGTGTGTTGTTGTCGAAAAGGATTACGTTGAAAATTGAAATCATTTTTAAGCTGATAATCGCTATCTTTCATTGCCGTGTCGAGAACCTTTTAGTTCCTACTCCTACTGGCGTAATAGCAAAAAATTTCGAAGGAGATAGCTGCTATGGCAAGAACGAAAGAGCTTTGCAGTATTTGAAAGTCGGTGTAGTGGTCACGCGTGAACGCCAAAGACAAAAAAAATAATAAAAAACCTCGTTTTTTGACGCGTCAGAAGCTCCTAATCATTGTCAGAAAATTATTTGTAGCGGCTGGGGCTTGTAAGAGTTACGGGAGAGTATATCTCATTTTTTAACTTAGATAAATATTTACGACGCGACACGCGGTCGGTCGGGACGGTAGCCGATGGCGACCCTCATGCGCCAGTCTCGATCTCGAGTTATAGTATCATGGGAGGCGCGTATGGCATGGTTGTATGGTATGGTTCAGCACCGTTGTCAGATGGTCTATACTGAGGGCAGTGAAGTGTTTATCAAATAGGTAGGAACTATGGCGTATGGACTAATTGTATGGGCCTGTTTGGCTAAATAACGCAATCCTTTATGAATCGATGACCCCGTTGCGTGCAGAGTCAACCTACCTAACGCCATTTTTACGCTACCTTTAATATTTGTCCATGGCTTTTTGTAAGATGCGATCCGATCGCGATGCGTGCGAGTCGCGTCGTCTTTTCCGCGGCAGCGCAAAAGCAGCATGGTGCGCGACGCAGGCAAAACGGCGCAACGAACGACGAACCAAACCAACGCAACGGTGAAAGTTGGAGCAGGCACAGGCAGCAGCGAGGCAGCCTGCCGTAAGCGAGAGGTCGTTCGTCGACCCCGGATCGAGCCAGAGGCATGGGCATGGAAGATTAGAGATGTCCGATATCGTTATTTTTGAATATCTGTGATATTTGATACTGTTACTTTCCGTTATCAGTTATTTAAAAGCGGGACGAGATCACGAGCTTTGAATAACGATGGGTCATTTTCCGCTGATCTGTCATAGGCGACGTATCGCATGACCGGTGCACGACTCCATCCCATCCCAGCGGGATGTAAAGCCATAATTATTTCTAGCAACGTTCGATATTTTTCAAAAGACATGTGTGTTTTATTATCACATCGTACTACTACTCGTCGTTGCTTCTCGGGGCGATCCGGAGGATCTTTAGGTCATGGATACCGTGTCTATCGTTAGTATGTCAGGTCTGGAGGCACGGAAATCAGTTGTATTGGAAAAGAGCAAGAAATTGTTTTATGTAAATACAAACGGTACTTATAAAGGTTTTGCAGTACAGCTTTATCTATTGACTTCGTTAAAAGTAATTTCCACCACATTCACACTTATCCATCCGCCAAAACCTGTCCTTAAACCAGCTCTGTCCAGTTGTCGCAAGTCCTCAAGAGGTTCTCATCGCTAGAAAACCGTTCATCTTTTAGCTTCATTTTCACATGCGGAAACAGTGCAAATTCGCTGGGAGCCAGATCTGGACTGTAAGGAGGGTGCCCAATAAGTTTCAGTCCAGTATCTTAACTCTAGTCAAGCTTGGAAACACCTGAGTAGGATAAATGTGGTAGTCCAGAAACATGTTGCGATACCTCCCAGTCTCCTTGAGCCTAACATTTTAAATAACTATTTTCTTTCAATTTTCCAGACAGCTGCAGCTGATCCAAATTTGATTGACAGTGTCTCTAATTCTTATAGCGATAGACGTCATACACCGGATGCACCTCTGTTTCCTTTTAAACTCCTTACTCAGCAAGACATCGTCAATATAATCTCTCACATTAAGTCTGTGGCATGTGGCTCTGATGGTCTAACTTTAAATATGGTTTGCTTATGTTTGCCTGATACCATAGACCATATAAGTCACATTATTAGTGTCTGTCTCGAAACAGGTTACTTTTCTGCCAGTTGAAAAATTGGTATTATTATTCCAATAGCTAAAACTAATCATCCAGAGCAATATTCGGATCTCAGGCCAATTACCTTATTATGCTTTCTATCAAAAATACTCGAAAGAGCTGTCTACTCACAACTAGTGGAGTGTTTCGAACAAAATCACTTATTTCCTCTACATCAGTCAGGTTTCAGAGCTGGTTACAGCACTATTTCGTCTTTATTACATCTTACTGATTCCATCATTCACAATTTAGATAATCACATCAACACCGTCTTAGTACTGTTAGATTTCTCGAAAGCCTTTGATATGGTCAATCACCAGATACTACTGAGTAAGTTATCTCATTATGGAATGTCAGATATAGTTCTAAGGTTCTTTGAGTCATACTTGCTAAATCGTCAACAAACAGTGAAAACTGATCAGGGAATTTCCTGCACTGAGCCAGTTCCTTCAGGAGTTCCACAGGGTTCAGTATTAGGTCCCTTACTATATCTGATTTATACTATCGATCTGCAAGACTGTTTAGTCCACTGTAGTATGCAAACTTATGCAGATGATACTCAGTAAGTGTTTGGTTTCGATCCATCAAAGGTTGATGAAGTTTCGTTTAAAGTTAATTTAGATTTGGCTAACATCAGTGATTACTGTAACAAACACTGCTTGAAGATCAATCCCAATAAAACTACTGCAATGTTGTACTGTTCGAAGAACTCCTACCGTGAAATGAATCAGAGGATTTGTGTTGTTTTGGATGAGACACTCACCCCTTTTGTGGATTAAGCCAAGCATCTCGGTGTTATCCTTGACTTAAATATGAGATTCGATCGGCATGTCTCTTTCTTATATAGAGTAACGTATATGCGTTTGAAACTCCTCTATTCTAATCGATTCATCCTGAACTTTAAAACCCGAAAAAAGCTCGCCGAAAGTCTTGTGTTGTCTGTCATTTCTTACTCTTTTGTTCTTTATTACACATGTTTAGACTACGTCCACAAAAGGAAACTCCAAAAAATTCAGAACAGCTGTTGTAGGTTTATTTTTGGATTGCGCAGGTTTGGTCGCGTCTCAGATAAAATTAAAGAACTCAACTGGTTGCGAATTGATAAGTTATTTTTATACCTTTTGACCGTCTTCACGCATAAAGTTCTATTATCTAACAGACCAGCTTACCTCGCTAGCAAATTAGTTCACCGTGGTAGTTTTGTTACCAGAGCTCTTAGATTTAATGATAATTTTAACATACCTCCTCACAATACCTCGGTATTTGAAAGAAGTTACACCTATAATGCTGTCAAGCATTACAATGCAGTCAGCAGTGGCTGTCGATCCAAACAATTTGCTTTTTTTAAGAAATTGATGAATAGTCAGCTGCTGGAGTCCATTTAGTTCAGTTTTTCTTGTGTTCATGTGCTTTTTTTTGACTATTTTCTACTATTTTTGTTACAAATTTAAAACTCTCACAATACTATCTGCATTTGTCCAGTTAGCTGTGACTGTCTTCTGTGTGTCCAAAACGACACGCTCCACAATACCGCTCGATTTGAAAAATACAGCTATATTTTTTTTTCTTAACGGATTGGGATTTTCTGACAGCTAGGGGTGTGACCTCATCATCAAAGATCCAAACTTTGTTTCGAGACTTGGTCGGCACATCAATATAATAGAGCCAAGTCTCTTCACCTGTCACGATGCTGTTCAAATACCGAGATTGCTCCTTTTCAGCATCTTCTGCTCTTCCGTCAGACTATGCGGTATCCAGAGAGAACAAAGTTTCCTCACGTCCAAATAGTCTGTACCACCCGAATATAGTCGTATGATTAGGTCAATCATTCTTTAGTGCAAGCGTCATTTCTTCTATGCTCTGTTCTATGCTTAAACCACGCGTAAAGTTATACATTAAAACTGCCTTTATCTCACTACGTGACCATGATGCCATACTTCCACACTTTACACTGTCAATACGAATGAACAACTTAATCAACACATGTGCTGCT